GGATAATATTCACCATGTTACAAGGGATCATATATCCAATTTTGAGCTTTTTTGAATTGGTAATAAATAGAAAACAACAATTTTTTCTGAGAGGGCCCAAGACTTATGGATCACCCTTTAGATCTATTATTGTAGTTTTACCATTAGCTGCTGTACAGTCAAATTTTCTTTGTAATGTTTATATATAGAAAAAATGTCGTGTAGCCATCATGATGAAATACATGTACATTTATAGTTCTTCAGAGAGCACAAATAATTTTATCAGATACTGATATTGTGAAAGGAAAACTCATTCTAAGCGTGTGGGTGTGGATGTGGATTTTTACGAAAAGAAGATCCACACCTACATCCTCCTCTTTAAGCACAGCTTCATAGATCAGTAGTGTAGGCCATTTCTGTACACAATTGCCAGATTTGTTTTCGGAGATCTGATCATTTTGTAGAACAGAAAAAGATGTACAACATATGTGAAAATAAGCGTGAAACTCTTTAACCTAACTCTACAACAAACGATACAGCGTAAAACTTGAGCATTCTTTACCGCAAAATACGAATAATTTTGGACAGTGTAGGATATATGAAGCCTAACCAGTGGATGAAATATAATGTCAGACTAGCTAGTTTTGTTCGGCTTTCGATGCTCTATCTCGTGATATATTGCGTTGAAATTTTCATTGATACACTGCCGCGTGATCGACTTCCAATTGATCGGATGGTGTTTTACACAAATTTTTCATAAAAGTTGATGGATACTGACAAGTTCGATAGATCTCACTTTCCACTAGTCCAACCAAATCCGATAAAACTTTCAGGTTATAAATTTCTCACTTCACTGATTCTGATGTCAAATCAAAAGAAACCTTGACGGGGCATGGTCCCTGAGACAGTCCTCGATGGACTCATGGGCGCTCTCTTAATATCGACGTCGAGCCCTGATAAGTGTCTACATCTCAATTAATGCTACGAGACGCGTCGTCGAACAGAGCTATTCATTTCTTTTAGACAGGGCAATGATTAATCCTTTATTCAATTCATCAAAGTTAGACTTAGGCGATTGGTGAAATGCAAGAGTTGGGACAAGCAGATTGAACACATTTGTTTCTGCACCAAATAGATCGGTCTGTTTTCAGTAGATTTCTCCACCCACACCCACAAGATGGATATCGTGAAGCATGACTGGAGTTTCGGATATAGTGTGTCTCTTTTAAATAATTTGAAGAAACAAGTAAATGAAATGCATTGTATGTTATCTTTGTGTTTGCAGAAAATATATAAATTTCAAGAATCTTTTATTAGTCATTATTACCTGCGCAGCCCCATGGTACGACTGTGCAGAAATGTTCGAAAGGAAATGAACGTTCATATTGCCTTAAGGCTCTGAAGAGAGGCGCAAGAGCCACGAGAGTTTCACCCAAGATCCATGCATCAGCATCCATAATACGTATTGCAGTTTTGTTTGCCACCGGATAGCTTGCAATAAAAACAGCATTGTTCCATGCAATACCACGAAGTACATCTGTGAATGTGTCCAAAGTCAAATATAAAAGTGTTTTCCAGTTGGTCAAGTTTAGAACAGGTGCATAAAAGTCAGTCAACGCTGTTATCAATTCAAGTGAACAGTTGTGAATTATATTATTGACTTTCTGACTATCGGACTTTTTAGCTGTTGCATTCATCCCAAGTGGATCAAGTTCGCTTAATGTAATGCCTAGATCACGCCCAATATGAGCACTCATTCCTAATGCAAAATTTATGTAGAAGGTCATGTCGCCCTTGTAAGCATGTTTGAAAGCTAGAAGCCAACTTCGAGGTATATTATGAATTTCTCCCAACGCAAGGTTCATCAATGCATTACGATAAAAGTTGCCAAAATGAGCTGTATACTGCTTCATCCATTCTGTTAGTTCAAAGTAAGTTCCCGTTGAAATTTTTGCGCGAATGCGACGAGTCATCTCGAAGTATATATTGTTAAAGTGCAGCATATAATGCTGGGTGAAGAGAAAATATCGATCAAGACATATCATCCTCTCATACATATCGTCAATGGAAGTGAAAGGATCGCGAACAATAGCCAGCAATGACGATAGTTTGCAGCGGAGGATAACATTTGAGGATGAATAAGATGATGTGATAGTAACTGGATTCTTATGTATCAATACAGATACTGTTGTTGGTGCTAACAATCTTGTTGCCAACGGATGTGCGACGATGGATAGTCCTGAAACATTTGCAGGAGACTGCATGAATGGTGTTGACAGTGGTACTTTTGTGTATTTGGAACGTAACGACGTCCAAGTGGAATTGGAGCTCGGTTGCGAGTGAAAAGTAGTATCAATATAATGATTATAGTCGTCATTATGCTTTTCACCATATTGCTGAGGTATTGTTATCGGTAATGGTAGGATAAAAATGAAAGAGTTGATCAAATAGACGAGCAGTATATACATTTTTTCCATAGCAACCTAGCAAAAAATGACCGAAAGTCACTAATGAGTAAATCCATAGGAAAAATACCACTTTTAGGGGAAAAGTTTTTGTTTTGGTCGTTTTTTGCACTCATTCGATCAAAAGTGACCAGAAAGCATGTTCAATTTTCGTTGCGAAAATGATGGAGATATGGTTAAAAGACTGAAAGCATCAAATTTTGAGAAAGCACTCAAGACAAACTATAGTAGTTTTATTCAAAACTGTTCTAGTTCGTAGGTTTCAGTATGTTGGCCGTATCTGAGCCATTTTTCAACAAAAATTGGTAATGTTTTTATGAAAACGATCAATGCAACATGGTCTACAAACTAGACTATCCGAGAAATCGTTTAGACGTCTTCGTACTAGAAGAAGTGTGAGCACGTCACTAAACTGAGATGTTCCTAAATCATCGTCTGGATATCCCACATTCCCGCATGCAAGTCGCAGCATTTTGTGGTCAAACATATTTTCGAATCACTTTTGATCGAATGAGCGCAAAAAAGGCTAAAACGAAAACTTTTCCCCAAAAGTGGTATTTTTCCCATGAATTTATCCTAGTGAGAACCATACTATGTGCGTTATCAAACGAATTATCAAAGTTGTAATTGTTGCATTCGAAAAGAGAATCGTTTTTTATTCATTACCCGAGTTACAGCTAGGGAAGTAGAGGATCGCATCTTTTTCTCCTAGTCTCGCCGTGCCCTATTCATAATCTATTTTTCGGTGAGAGAGTTGCTCGACTGGATTTCTACTAATTCAAAAAAAAACTGAAGACTGAGTATCAATCATTTGCATAGATCAGGAATATGTGCGACTATCAGTATATTTCAATGGTTCGAATGTAGTGGGTGGACCGAGTATGAAAAATTCGAAGAGGACATTTGGTGTTTTGCAATGCTTTCAGAAAAGCACATTGTATATTTTGAAAAATGAAGTGGATTCACAGTTCAAAGACATACACTTCTAATTTACATAATTAGGCGTGCATTAGCTCCAATTCCAATACCAATTCCCATTATTTCTTGTAGCTGGTATTCGGATTTTTCCGACATCATCGGATGCGACTTGATCGTGTTCTGAATAGGTCCCAATTTGTTCGACTGGAAAATGGAATCAGTCGGACTAGAAACTGGAATTGAATAAAACTGAATCGTAACCAACTCAAACTACTCTTAGCCGAGGTTCTCAAAATTTCTACGGAAACAAAAATTTCTCGAGCGGATTTTTTAGGTTACCATTTGTAGGAAGCTATAGTGAACGAAAAAAGCATCGTTCATATTAGGAATGGCACTTTTAAGTTGATAAATTCATTCGGAAAAGCTGAAATCAGTTCTCAATTGATAGCTGAAACCTCGATTCTAAATTAACTGAAATACACTTACAGCATAGGCAAAATTGAAAAGATTGAAATCAAGTTTACTTAGACTTTCAACGAAAAGTTGAAAAGTTGGTCTCAACTTAAGTTAAGTGTGACACCCCTAGTATACAGAGCAGAATGCAGCCCAGACCTAGTGTTATGGAACGTATTATGAACACATTTTCATACATTTGCCTTCAGGGTTTACGAGGATAGAAAGAGTATAAGCGATATACCAACTTTTACTCGCATTTTAGATCGGATAGCTAGCGATCGCGCGTACCTGGATAAAGTGCAAACAGGCTTACATTTTATGTACTAATGAGCAGCAATGTACTAGCCTTCATTCCATACATAATATCACTTCACTGTCTCAAAAAGACCTAATAAGCCAATGTAGCTGCTTAGGTATCTCATCCTTTTCTATTCTCCACTCATAAGAGAAGGTTCGGGCGAAAAAATCAAATGAATTAGTCGACGACAAAAGTTTCGCCCGCTGACTATATCATTTATTTTACGCTTTATAAGGACATTAAAAAAAGATAATATTATTATCACATATACTGTTCTTAGATACTTCGTTACTCATATTCAGCTTTTTTATTTCTTTAAGTTTTTTGTTTTAAATTGATTAAATACTAGAAACC